AGCCTGGGTGAGAATACCTTTTGGGCAACAAGACTAAGTGAAATTAAATGGAAACCTAGGGTCTACTCATATCACCTTATAATTAGGATGTATACATCTCATAAAGAGAATATTGTCCGTGGAATCGAAGCTTGCCCGATAATCCAATGAGAGTAAGGCTTGCAATGAATTTCGAATTATTTTGTGTTTGGGTCGAAAAAGCAATCTACAGACAATAGTTCGAGCCCCAGGCACCTTATTTATTTAAGTTTTGAACGCCAGATAGTGAATTTTACCACAATGATATTGGTAGACCCCACGCTTCCATCGAATTTAGCTTAATGTAATGCGAAGAAAAGTTGGGTTTCGAGAAATCTCTTGCTTCGTAATTGTTGAGCTTACTTCCATTTCGAATGAAAGTGTTTGGAAAAAAGATTCAAATGTCGATTCCAGCAGAAGACGACGGCGGATTTCTCTTGACCAGCTGTCGATTGGCTTAACTGGAACATTCATACTGATGCTGTTCCAAGCACATTTCTTAAATATGAGTCTTCTTGACTCGTTAGTTTGAATTTGATTGTGACGATGATACCTTGCTCTGATGATGTTCGTCATATGACGGACGAAAGCTTAGCACCTTTTCACCCTGACGATGTTACCTCGCTCTGATGATGTCCGTCATATGACGGACGAAAGCTCAGCACGTGTTCACCGGAACGATGTTACCTCGCTCTGATGATGTCCGTCATATGACGCACGAAAGCTCAGCACGTGTTCACCGGAATCGAATGAGATTACCTCGGAAACAGAGTTCCAATGAATGTTCCAGCAAAGCCAATCGACAGCAGATCAACAGGAATCCGCCATCGTCTTCTGGTGGAATCGACCTTCGAATCTATTCCCCAAATACTTTCACCCGAAATGGAAGTAGGTTCAACAATAGCTGAGCTTTGTTCTATCGATCACCTCATACAGAAATTTGACATGGGATCTGCCCAGGCTTCCTTAAACTTGACTTCTGCCCTGTTGCCAGAATGCACTTGCAGCAGTCTGGCGTCGGGAGACCCGGATTCAAGTCTCGCCAGGGAGGGCTTATGAGATCTCGACGAAATTCATAACAGCGCTCCAGCCCTGGATAGGAATGCATTTTTGGAAGCAGGTTGTTTTAAATTCAATGGAAACCTGAGATCTCCTAATACCTTTGACGGACATTTTAACTACCAGCCCTTCATCACATTATACGAGATGTATTCAGCCTATTTTATTTAGGGTCATAAAGGGATTGCTATGAGAAGACATGACGTTTCCATTGAATTCCACATAGTCTTGCTTTCCCAAAAGTTATTCTTATGAAATTTGTACTGCAATTTCGTACTCATCTAGGCCTTGTCAACAACTCCAGCGGGACTCAAACCATGAACTGAAGCGTATAACCTCGACGCGTTAACCAATTCACCAAATTTTCACGATTGTCATTGGATCATAGGGCGGATGTGAATTTCAGAGAAGACTTAGCATTTTCCCAAGTCACATTTTCTAGTGGGATTATCGATAATGCAAAGTTATATTTGCTATGGCAATCGACTACGTTACTTATTTTTTGTTTATAAGTAGGCTTACGAGACCACCAATGGATAGTATATGAGAGATATATTCATCCCAATTTGTTAAGGGTGATAAGGGTCTGGTAATTTTATTTTTCCATAACGATACAACAAGACCTTACGTTTCCATTAAATTTCTCATAGCCTGGATTTGCCAAAAAGGTATTTTAATCCAGAGTGAATTGCAGTTTCTACCTCGCCTGGGTTGCATTAGCGGGAAGCAAACTGTGAAAGGTAGTGTATAATCTCGAAACATTACACACTACGTCACACGACCACGAGAGCCCTTCGGTCACAGTGTAGATGTGAATTTCAAGAAGGGCCAGACATTTTCCCATATTACATTTTGTAGTGGGATTGTTAATGAAGCAAAGTTGTATTTGCTATAGCACTCGACTGCATTACCTATTTTTCGTTTGTAAGCAGGTTTTCGAGACTACCAATAGATTATATCTGTGAGATCTATTCACCGTATTTCGATTAAGGAGAGACTTGGGCGAGGTTGGAATTGCAGTCCATCCTGGATGAGGATACCTTTGGGAAAAGAAAGGTTATGTGTAATTCAATGGTAACGTAAGTTCTACTCATCACTGTAGGAAAATTCGACTACTGGTCTC